TAGAATCTTCTAGAAGGTTCTTTTCATTCCTAATCCAATTAGCATTGATAAATTGACTTTTGTTGACTTTTCAGAGTTTTAATCAAAATTAAAATAGCATTTTTGAGGAAATTATATTATTTTATCCTCCAGTACGGTAAACTTATCGGATATTCGAAAACGCGTTGGAATTAGGCTTGGCGCCTAACCCCAGGCCTTGGCGCCTGGAACCAGGCCTGGCGCCTGGCGCCAGCTAGCCAGGGTTGACGCCAGCTCTATTTTCTGAGCGTCGGGCTCTGTATTGTTAATTTATCTTTTTTGGCTGATTTTCTCTATAAATATCGTATTAAAAACTCCGTTTTCATTCATCATCTACATCTATCATTCACCAATTCTCACCAATTGTTTTCAATCATCAACAATCATTAATTCTTTAGCATTCTCTAAATCATTCATCTCTCTTAAAACATTCAATTCTTTCTTTCTAACCTTTTCTTTTTCATAAAAAATTCCGCATTCACAAGATCTAGAAACACCTAGCCATATTCTAGAAACACCTAGCCATATTCGAAGTTGTCTTCGCCCTAGACGTGAAAGGTTTAATTTCTGAGGGTTTGGTCCCAAATCTCTATTTCAATTATTTAATTTAATTGTTTGTTTATTATTTTCCTTGAAGTTACTAACGTGTGTATTTTGTTATTAGAAAGAGGTACGAGGCATCAAAGTAAGTACTTTAATGGTTTTTATTGATGTTATTATGTAGAAATCATGCTTAGGTTGTTATTATGGTTCCTAATGTTATGTTAGGGCGTTTTGATCTTCCTAGTATCATGTCTAGGGTAACTTTAATATCAAGTACGATTAAAAGTATGATGCTTCCTATGTTCTTCCTAATATTTATGATTGTTAGTATCATGTTAGGATTAAAGATTTGATTTTTATTGCTTAGTGACAAGTTAGGGTTTGTTATTAATCTTGTTAGTATCATGCCTAGGATCTTGCTATTTTTATTATGCTTTAATATTAATATGAACATGATCATGAATATTATTATTGTTATTTTGATTATGATTATTATTGTTATGATTATAATTTTATTGTCATGATAATGATTATTTATTATATGTTGCTTGATATTTATTGTTATTGCTTGATCACACCTTTTATGCATGTTAAAAGGAATTGGTACTTGTAATCACGCTTAATAAGATATTTAATAATCTTGTTTAGGGTTAATTTTGATTATAATTTCAAGTGATCGCCAATAATAGTTTATTTGTGCATTAAATTCAACTAACATAGATAAACAGGTTTAGGGTTAATCCTATTGATTGCATGTTAATCAAAAAGCGCACATGAATACGATCAGAATAAAGTAGAGGCCTATTATTAGGGCAGGTTCAATCTCTTTTAGGTTGGATTTGTACCTTCATCCCCAAACCCTTATTTGGTTCTAGACCTTATGGAGTTGACGATCTCTTGGATCGTTAAGGGGTGTAACCTTCACCTCGTGAACGGTTTACAAGTTCCTAAAAACTTGTTGGCGACTCTTTTGCTCTATCTTCTTCCCTTTTGGACGCCACCGTACTTCAGTGTATGATCACAGTGGGGTTCGAGCTAGTGGGATTTTTAAAGGCTTGAAATTATTCCCTACATTATGATTATGGGGTTATTTTATGTACTTAAAACAAATTTCCAGATTTATTTACCCACTTTAAAGTTGTTGTAATTTGATATAAAACACTATATTTTTATAATTCTAACATATAAACTTAAAGTTGGGATGTTATATTACTAACTTTGATCTTTGGGGACAATTTAAAGGCTTTATTTTGATGATTTAAGAGGTTTTAAAGTAGTTTAGCATTGCTGTAATTTTAATTGCTTTGGTATTGATTTATTTCTAATTGTTTGGTTTAGGAGAGGACTTTGTAGAAGGCGACTTCTAGTTTTAAAGTGGCCAACCGGATTGTTTACACAAGGTACGTACAAGTTACGAAACCTTGCTTGTAGGTGCATGTTTAAGGACGGATCGAGAACTTAGTATCATGTATAGGATTGACTGGGTTAAATTGTCTGGTTATACATTTTGAATTTCAAATGATGTGCACTAGTTTATAATGCAAGTATTATTTGTGCTTTAATTATGCAAGGTGCGCTTACAGGAATTTTCATCCTTTTGTAATCTTTCCGGATTTGCTAAGGTATGTGATTGGTGTAAAGATCAAATTATTACTCGTTCATGATTATGTAAACAGGATGAGTAAAGGAGAAATTCAAGTCTTGTAAGACGAGGTTAAGGTTTTGGGGTGCCTTATGCACTCAAGGTGTTTATACACCGAGGTAGTAATGGAATAATTAATAAATGTTGTTTGTCACTAATAAATCAAGAATCTAAATTGAGAATTTGCCATGTTTGATTGAATTGCTTTTGGGATGTTTGTATTGATATGTATATGAGTCATCACCAAGTCTAAACCTGTAAATCACGTAAAGTGCAAGATGGATGAGCAATAAAACTCTGGAATGGTGCACATCTGGAGTAATGACAATCAGGGGTTGGGGTACATTGGGTATTAGCCGTGTACTTTTATCGAGGTCGTCTGATCTACGAGTCTCCTATTTCAAATATTATTTTTCTAAAATTAGGAGTTAGGTGAGATCTCATACTAACTACGGTCACGGAGTCGCGCCTGTGGTCGTTGGATGTTTATTGATGTTTCCGAAAGGAGGCATGTGGTTTTTCTTTATTGATGTTCCAAATGGGACATGGGTTGGACAACCTTGTCTATTGCTAAATCCAATGAAATAAATAAATGAGTCAGTTAATATTAATTAGTGAGGTCTTAATAAGTTTGATAATCGAGTCATGAATTGAGTCTGTATTTAATGATGCTTGTGCTTGATTATTAGTAGCATGTTAGGTATTTTCTTAATTTATTTCGCAGCTTGTATGTACTCAGCTTTGCTGACTGCGTGCTTTTGTGTGTGTCTTTCTTTGGTCATGGCCTTCGCCTTTCAATGACCCTGTGACGATCCAATTTTTACACTTGTAATATTGGGGAGCAGAATAACCACAGGTTCTTACACATGCAGCATTCATCAAGGTTGTGGGATCTTGAGTAGAGAGTTGGTTGTTTGCATTTTATTTCTTTTGCAAGTTTGAATTTATTTTAATTCTATTTTATTTGACATTAGTTCTTTTGGGCTTGAATTTATTTGAACACTGAATTTAATCACTTACTACTTTTATTGAGTTTTAAATAAGGGCCTTAAAGGTTCCAACTTGTAATACTTATTTTGATTTAATTCCTTTGTTTTGAGGTTTATTTATAACTGTTTTGGTTTTCCGCTGCTAATTTCTGAGATAGCCTTAACGTTTGAACACGTGGCGGTAGCACACCAGTAATTCTCTTGAAATTGTTCAGGTTATATACAGGTTTTTCACAGGTTTTTAAGAGAGAATTATTGAGGTGTTACAGGCCATAATTAAAAAGATCCACAGAGGAAAATACTCACAAAATGAAAAGACAATAGAAGCAAAGATTGGAATCAACCCCAGCAAAAGACAAGACTAAAACAAATTAAGCAACTGAAGAAAAGAAAAGCCCCTCACTTAGCTTAGCCTAACAGGGAAGACCCACTAGTCTCACCTTACGCAACAAGACTAGGAAGACCCACAAATTGAAAATCAAAACAAATTTCGTATAGAAACACGGCTTGACGGGGAGAAGTGGGGAAAAGATGGTTGTTGCTGCATGATACAACAATCACCAGTGGCACCTCGGTGGCCTAGGGGGGTCGCTGGCGATTGAGGAGCAAGCCAACCCACTCTAATCGCCAGCGGCCTATCGAATACTACTGTTTTGAGAAAGCCGGCATTAATAAATCAAAGGCTTAATTTTGATGGTTTTGGGAATTTCCCTAAGCGCATTCTTTAGGCGCGTGAGATTTAATTGATTAATTTTCTTCAACTTTCATTACTTAAACATATATACATACACACACATATATATATATCCAACCAAAATGTCAGAACTTTTCACTCGAGCCCAGGCTCCTTTTTCTCTTCACCAAGAGGATAAGCTAGTCTTCTTTTGATAATATGATTCTTATAGGACATTAAACATCCATAAGGATCCTTTCACCAATAAAAACGGACGGCTAAAAGGAGATTCACACTTTCCATTGACCATGCTCTTTCAAAATAGGATGTGTTGAAATTATTATGAAACGAATGTAAAAGATAAATGTTGTGTTTATTACGAAGCAGAGAGAGAGTATAGAAACAAAAAGCTCAATGGCGCTTATTTTGATGGTTTTGGGAATTACCCAACGCACGTTCTTTAGGCGTGTGAGATTTAATTGATTAATTTTCTTCAGCTTTCATTCCAAAAAAAAAAAAAAAAAAAAAAAAAAAAAAAAAAAAAAAAAACCCAAAATGTCAGAACTTTTCTCTCCAGCCAGGCCCCTTTTCCTCTTCACCAAGAGGATTAGCTAGTTTTCTTTTGATAATATGATTCTTATACGATATTTAACATCCATAAGGATCCTTTTACCAATAAAAAAAGGACAGCTAAAAGGAGATTCATATTTCCCATTCAGCATGTTCTTTCAAATTAGGATGTGTTGCAATTATTATGAAACAAATATAAAAGATAAATATTGTTTTTATTAAGAAGCGGAGAGAGAGTATAGAAACAAAAAGCTCAAAGGTACCTAGAAAAGCCTTAAAACAAAAATTCCTTTGTAACTATTCCCATAAAAAACATCAATTTTTTAGTGCATGTCACACCATGCAGCATGGGTTACCCGAGTTCTTTTTGCTAGAGGTTACTTGAGTTTTTCAGTCAGGGATTACTTGAGTTACTCGGTGAGGGTTACTTGAGTTACTCGATCAATGGTTACTTGAGGGGTTCGGGCAGGGGATACTCGGGGGTTCACCCGATTAAGGGTTATTTAGTCAGGGGTCACTCGAGTTTCTCGGTCAGGGGTTACTCGAGTCACGCCTGACCGAAAAATTCGAGTAACCCCTGATCGAGAAACTCAAGTAACCTCGAAAACTCGAGTAACCCCGGGAAATTAAGTAACCCCTGGCCAAGAAACTCAAGTAATCCTGATCGAGAAACTCAAGCAACCCCTGTCGCACCGTAAAACATGCCGCATATAAAAAATTTGTTTAAATTTTTTTTTTTAAAAAAAACGATAAAAAAAATAAAACATTCACTATTGCTACTTTCACATCCAATAAAGTCCTTCTAAACAGCAGCAAAAGTACATAATTGAACCTGTGAAAGAATATTGAGGCCAACCAGTATACTTGGGACTGCCTCATTATACATGTACACAAAAATAGATCAAACAAAGCTGTGGACTGCAAAAGCTTCAAGTAAATCTTTCTTCACTTCGTTCTGTTTATGACTATGAGTGTAAGATCTATAAGTAGGGCTGGGCACAATAGGTTAACCGTACCATTGAGCCTTAACAGTACGGTTAACCGTTAGATCGGTTACTCAAAAATGCGAACCGTAAACCAGTATACTTGGGACTGCCTCATTATACATGTGTACAAAAATAGATCAAACAAAACTGTGGACTTCAAAAGCTTCAAGTAAATCTTTCTTCACTTTGTTCTGTTTATGACTATGAGTGTAAGATCTATAAGGGCCTGCCTTGACCTTCTAACATCATCATCATCACTCTGGGGCAGAGAATCAATAGCTGCAGCCGCTAGGTTTGCATGCATCAATGCTAAATCCTTCGCTCTTTGAATTCCTTGACTTCTCCCAAGATAATCAAGAGCCTATATGCAAAAAATAAAAACAAAAAAAAATTATACAAATACATTAAATTTGTTAACCAGAATTTTTTTTTAAAAAAATCTATGATATTATGCGAGTATTTAAAAAAATAAATAAATTAATTAATTAATAAAAACTAAATAAATTATATAATAAATAGATGAATAAAACCCTGCTACTAGAAAATAATCTGGTAAACTGAAAAGTTCAAGCATAAAATTGTTCTTTTACCAATATACAAAATGAAAAAAAAAAAAACTTTTCTAATGCAAAAGATCTATCTATAAGATTTTGTGATTAACACCCAACCAGGTAAATAGGTTGTATGGCGTGTTCAAGCCAACAGGCACTGAAGATATGAATACTACCAAAAAATATTTCCACCCATATCTGCCACATCACTAACAATGAGCACACAATAAGAACTTCCCCCAGCATACGACTTTTAAACCAAAACCTACCAGGAAATCATAAATTCTTTCTTGATTATCTCCCAAATTTCAGTATTGGGCCATTGGCTAATGCAAAGATAATTGTAGATTAACTTTAACATAATTGTATGACAGGCATTATTCTTGACTAGACATCATAAAACAAATTCCTGGAAAAAAATACTCATCATATGAATTAAGAGGTCCAGAGAAAACGACCACCATAGATGCATATCATTGGCGCAATGCCTCGATCCAAACCCTAATTTATCACCAAACCCAGGTAACGTTCACAAATCTTCATTTAAAGATTGCAGTCTAACGTTCACAAATTGGATCCTGAGCCTTGAAATTATCCAGAAAAGTCCAGAGAACACAAGACATCATTGCCAACAGATTGGTCAATCAGATTATGGAGCCATAATTAAAGCCTTTTGCTGACCAATGTACACTTCTCACTCCAATTATTTCATTGTAAAATATTTTATTGCTCTAGAATTTTTTTAAAAATTCAGAAAGTTCATTACACAAGATTTTAGCAAAAATACTTCCTAACTTGTAAGGTAGCATGAGTCAGAAAAAAATGTTCAATTGACCAACCTACAAAGTCTTAATGCCCAAATGGCTATACTTTATAAGAATTTAACTTTAAATGAAGATGTAACAGAGGTTGACAACAAAATGGCACCTAACACATAATAAAGCATTGATTTCCGCAAGATTCACAAACAAGAAATAATGCAGGATTTTAACATGAGGTTCACACATAAACATACAAGATCAACATCTGCAGGGTTGTCAAGGCCTCGCTGCACAACTTCACCTAGTTGAGGGAATTCTTCTGTGGCAAACAACAAAGGGGCTGTGATGATTCCCTGTAGAAAAGAATGCAAACATGTAGCACTTTGAGTTAAAGAAAATAGACATCTATCACATTAAGACTGAGTTGCAGCAAGTTCTGTGGCAGTCATGCTAAGAACATACTACAGCAATGGGCATTGCTGATTACACTGTAATACGATATCTTTCTAGGTTAGAAAATTTCCCATCTTCCACTAAATTGACCTCCAATCTGACTTGTTAACTTTGTGGCTTCCAGACACTTTTGATGTGTATGAATGAATTGTCATTCCCTGAAGAAGAATATTGGCAAACATGTACAACACTTAATCACAGAAAAGAGGTAATTACATGACGAATATCAGAAAGTGAACCCTTTCCAAGTGATGCAGATGTGCCGGTGAAATCAAGAACATCATCAATCAATTGGAATGCCAATCCCTGTGGAAGAAAAAAGAATTGGAGATGTAATGAGCAATATGTACTGATATTACCAAACTGAAGTTTTCTTAATATAAATTTACTAATACAGTTGAGTTAGATGAACATAATTACATCTGCTAGCTTTCTGCAGCACATTGCCAGGAATCAACTTAAACCTCCACTCCCTTTCACTTAAGCATGCCAGAAAAAGGCGTCGAAGTCAGTTAGCTCCACTTAAGGGCAACCCAGTTAAATTTGTTTTCAGTCAAATATGGTGATTCCTAGATAAGTATGTGGAATTTGTTATGGGAAAATCTGTTGTGGAGAAGTTATGTACTTTTCATTTATATATAGGGGTTTGTAATAAGAAAAGGGTATGCTGAATGTTTATTGAGAACTTTTCTCTTGATTTTTCTTTTGTGGGATAGCCCTTACCTCTCAAAAGCAAGGAGTCGTATTCTAATTATTTATCATCAATACGACATACTATCCCGGCCTCCTTCTTCCCTATTTTTCTGCTGTAATTTCTTAACAATCCCATCTGTTTCCTTGCACACATGATCTTATAAACAGAAAAACCACATCAGATACAGCAACGCTGCACATTTCACACTCTTTCTTTTTTCTTTACTTGCCTCATTTCCCATTCTTTCTTTTTTTCTTTTTTTTTTTTTTTTTTTTTTTTTTTTTGGTAAGTAAGAAGTATATTAATCAAGCAAAACCTTCCCATTCTTGGGGTGTAATTAACACCCATTTTCTTTTTGAAATTGTTTTCTCTATGTTTTGACTGTCCTAAAATCCTGTGCAAAGTGTCGTCGAATAAACAAAAAGTCAAATATTAACAAAAATAAATATTTGGGCTGAACCACCTTTTGCTCCCACATGATTTAAATCAGATTAGTGAGTTTACAAGATCAAGTTTAACCACTAGCCTCAGGTTGTTTTAACGAAAAATCCCATCCAAAATTATAATTGATATCTACCCCTCTGTAGTACACCATTAGGAAAGAAGATCCATTCGTTATTCAATTACCAAAAAGTCAAATGAAAATATTGAAAGAGGGAGTTTAAGTTTATTTGTCAACGAAATTACATTCTCCAAGAAAATAACATCTTATTAAGGTTTCATTCACAAATGGTTGAAAGTCACTTTCAGGCAAAAAAAATTAATTAAAAAAAAAAAAAGAGAGCTTATGCGACAAGTATAACTAAATTTAGAGATATATAGAGATCGACCCTCCATTCAGAACATAGGAAAATGCCGGCAACACACATTTATGCAACCAGAGGTCACAAGCCAAGTGTCCCAAAACCATAAATTCATCATTCCACATGTATTATTAAGAATTTAATATTCAAGGAAAGCTTCCACAAGTCTGAAAATAGATACATTTGGAGGAAATAGAACCCTCTAAGAAGCCGTAATATTCGTATTAAATAATGAACGCTTTACTGAGGACACTTATAGGTTCAAGCAGCTCAAGCTATTCAGCATACATGTAGAATACAAGCAAATTAGCAAAATCACTAAACAAAGTATCATGATAAAATATCACTATTTTCAAATCACAAATCTTCCACAAAAGGCTAGTGCTTAATTAGACAAGAAGCGACAAATAATTAAGACAGCACATTCGAAGATTAATAGGGTAGGCTCATTTTGATTTAATTGACATTGACAAATTATCAGCTACTTAACATCCAACACCAAACTTTCCACAAAATTTTTTCTGACAAGTAATTTCATTTACGATTCCAGCCATAATATACACTGACAAAGATACACTCACCAAATTCTTCCCATACTGGTAAGATAACATAGCAGCTTCAGTAGATTGCCCTGCAAGAAGTGCAATGGACTTGCAGCTATTTGAGATCAATGATGCTGTTTTGTAGTAGGTCTTTTCCATGTAATACTGCATGCTGCGAGTAGAAATGAACCAAAATATCAGCTATGCTGCATATTATACATAGCAAGATATATGAAAATAAAAAAGGAAAAGAAAAAAAATATAGCATCAACAATCTGGACCATATGAGAAATTACATAAAAAGCAAATGGGAAAACTGTTGGACGTTAAACACCACAGCAAGAGGAACAAAAGAACAACTTGAAATTTATGGCAACAGTTTGTATTCAAATATTTAATTAAGAGTTTTGAAAATAGCAAACAAAAATAAATCAGTATTGGCAAGAATTACCATCAATCAAAACTTATAAGCCTCTTCCCAGGCAATGCAAGGATATTAGAATAATTATTACACAAGGTTCACAACAGTAATAAACCAGAAAAATAAATTAGCCTTGACAACACTATATTTAGTCTGCCAGCAAAAGCAAAAAGAATCTTTCTAGCATGGATTCCACTTTTTAACTTGATTTTGGCCAACTAAATAATACTATAACTCCACATATTTGCTAGAAAGTTCAACTAGTGGGAAAATTACCTTTTCCGGAAAATTACCTTTTCCGGAAAAATAACTACCCAATATAGAAATAAAGCAAACAACTAGCATCAAGAGATTTTTGTTGGAAAAGCACCACATTTGAATTTTAAAAGATCTAAATTACCCAATGAAGGTAATAACCATCATCAATCAGGCGTTTGATGACTCTTTGACTCTCCCTGACCTGGTAAAAAATGGCTTCTGGGACCTCTTAAAATTGTCTCTACCTATTTCCCTCTGATCTGCAAAATCTCATCCTTGGTTGCGCCTTCCTTGTGGAGGCCATGACTTCCCTTTCTTTTATCTTAGCGAGAGAAATGAAATCAGCTCCTTTCTAACTTATTCCCACATCTAATTTTCCAAACACCAAATTAATTCCAGGGACTTTCTTGGCTGTGTCTGTGTCCAACAACTCCCAATATTATATTATTCTTTGCTATTGAATGGATTCCATTTATTCTCCTTTTGTGCTAAAGTAGTAGGTTAGCTTCTGCCTTCGACAGGTACCATTTTTTCAATTTTATAGTAGAATCTAACCTTCATATTCATTCCTAGTCTGAATTCTTTACTCAACCTTTCATAGGCTGGTTAAGTCCATCTTTCAACATTGGTAATATTCCCTGGGGTACTCAATATAGCATTCAGCATTTGGAAAGATGTGAAAATTAAGAGCCTATAGGTTTTGCAAAGAGTATCCAGAATTCAAAACACCCACTGCAAACATTGCCTCTTGAATGTCGATCAATATAATGGGCCATCACCAAACTCAGAGTGTATCTCCCCAAATGTCAGTTGTTCAAAAGATCTTGACTATGTTAAGGTCTCACCACACAGAAATGGCAGTTATCGAGCATCCTGAAAGAATTTCAATGGAGCAACATAATGGTCTGTAGCATCAAAATACACAAAGGATGGTGAAGAATATCCACTGTTCTCATCATCAAATAGGAAATGGTTTAACAAAATTTTAATGGGTGAGCAGGAAGGCTACCTATGTAGCAAGGATGCAGTTTTCCAATTTTGACACTTTGTCTGACCTTGTCGTCCACCATCCTGTCTGTAATATATTTTCCACTGAAAATAAGACAAGTGACATCCATGAAACTTTACCCCCCTCCCACAAGTTGGGTGCTAGAAGAATTGCTCCCCCCCCCCCCCCCCCTTTTTTCCCATCTCTAATAATGACACAATAACTGTCATTGTTCTTTAAGCTTCAAATGGCGAGATATTTGAGGTGAACATAGGTTCTTTAAGCTTCAAGATAGCATTAAAGGAAATTTCTTATTGGATAGTTGAATGGAAAAAAGAATTATGGTAGTTGTGTTGACAGAATGATGTATGTATATACAGGTTCTTCTACACATTTTTGCCCAATCAAACAATCATTTCTATCAGCTTGAAAGAGCTATAGCTACTAAATATTCTCATTCTAACAAAACTTACAACACCTAATTTCAAGTAATTCCAAAGCGCGTCCATGTCTTCATAGCTTATACACATCTAAAGCATATCAAATATTGTACGAAGATACCCATGAGATAAAACTCTTTATTTAGCACATATATAGTGACTCAATAGAATTACCCAACACAATTTTCCTTCAAATAATTAATATCCACAAAATGCTCTTTTATTACCTGCAATGAACCCACACCCAACCACCTGTTACCTTGGTGCACACAGCCACGGCAGGAGACAGAAACAGAAACAACAAGCGCAACAGAATAGCAGCAGCACACAACCACTATAAGCACAAGCAACATAGGCAACAACGTTTCTCTAAAGTGGCAGGCATCTTTGGATTATTAGCTATTGTACTGTAGTCTGTAGGTAATTTAGCAAGAAGACAAAGGATAGTAAAGGTAGCAATTAAGGCACTAGGCCACTTATGCATTACAATTGAGTAGTATAAATAGAACTAGCCTAAGAGAGAGAAGGCATGCAGAAAATTATTGTAGAGAACTCTTGGAGAGTAATGGCCAAAAGCCATTGTTATGTACGCAAGCTTTACGCTTTATCAATCGAAATTGACCTCCCGACTATTTCTTGCTAACTGAACCACCATGTTCGTTGCATTACCCTTTTGTTTCCTAAAATTCCATCTTCACTTCCACTATTCCTTAGATACTCATAACCTTTAAAAACTTATATCAAACAAGCAAAAAAAATTGACATATTGAAGCATTAATCCTAATATCATGTCAGAAAACTCGAAATGATGAATCTGTGCAAAGATAAGATGAAAATATTGCACCCGTCAACACAAGCAGTCTTGGCTTTCTGAAAACTTCTTTTTTTTTTTTTTTTTTTTTTTTTTTGACAAGAACAGCAACCTTTTTGTACATAAAATATCTAGCCACACTTTCCAAGCATAGCATGACTGCAAAAGGTGCACAAAAAATAACTCCCAGAGCATAACTACATACTTTAATCGCTGCTCAGACGTTGTTGTCATCTGCATTGTCTCACCGGTGACAAGATGCTGTACAACCTCAGCTATTAATGACACAACCTGCAGAATGCATCCTCATTTGAAAACTGCCACATGTTTTTATGGTTAATTTGAGTCATGATGTCAAATGTCTTACCTCATTATTTTGCAAAGAGGCTAGAGCTACACAAGCCCTAGAGAGCAACAAATCACCTGCTAAAACTGCTAACTGCATTGTATGAATAGATGGAGTCAGAAGCGTGCTTAAGAAATGTCAGAGTAATATGCAGTAATACAGAAAGACACCCATATACTAGGTTAAGGGGGGTATCTTCTCCTCTTTATGTTCCAATTTCATCATCATACTTTTCTTTTACATCCATTCCAATTTATTTGTCACACTTTCGTTTATGGCACATGCTCACAAATAGCTACGTAATAAACTGACCTAAGGAGAGGGGAATCATAGGTAGTGCATAAAACTGATAAAAGTCTATTAGGATTAGCTTGGAGAGGAAGCAAGCAATGAGTTTGCTCTATAAATAAAAGAAAATTAGGGATAGATCAGGAGGATGAATTTTGATAAGAATTCTCTTTTAGCCTTACTATGTATTTTGATAATCCATAGCTCCATCTAATTAAAAATTAAGTCTCATTCACTGATATCTGCTTAGCCACATTTAGTTTTCCTCCATCTAGTAAGACCCATATAGTGGGAGTCGTTTATAAATCTAACACAGGTAGTTTATAAATATGACATATAACTGTTGGGTATGTATGCAAGAGTCTGACTTGTTATGACTGGAAGTTGAGGACATGAAAGCACTGTCCTAAATATGGATACAGGTGCAGGGACTTTCCATTTAAAACCTAATATCATAGTAATAGCAAAAATGACCTAAATCGGTTGTTCAGCGAACAAGTAGAAAGAGGAAGAGAAAAATCACCTCCTAATTATTGTGTGAATAGTAGATCGACTATAATGAGTCAAATAAAGTCCTCTCAAGCTTATATTCACCGGCTTCTAAATCTCTCTATAGTATGAGGTACTTATTGCAGGTCAGATCCCACATTCATACCGTTGTCATGTCATGCCTAATTCCTAGAAATATTAAAATTAAAGAAACTAAATGACTAAACTTTGAAGCTCTAACTTCAATACACCCTTTGCTTCAAAGTTAAATAAAATGAAATAAATGAAGAACGTCGCTTCACCCAAGTGCACTTCTCATCTCATACAAATGTTGTTGATGCACATTATCATCAACCTCTACACTTTGAATAGAACACTCTGTTAGAAAAAAATTATGGGGATGAGGAATTAGGGACGTGTTTACACTGTCCTTTAAGCAATTTTAACCCCCACAATGATTGCTATGGGTTACCGGTTAATATGCTCCGAGGATTTCCCTAAGTTAGAGAACAATTAAAGCAATGTAACTGAACTCCCTAAGAACACTTTAACAATAAGAATAGATAAGGAAGAAGAAAAAGTAAAAAGGTTAGTTATAATTTTGGAGTAATTAACTATATATAATGAATAGTCTTTTAAACCAAGAGTCACTATTTCCTAAAATAATTAATTAAGATAATCTGACTTTTAATGAAAAGTCATTATTAACATAATCAATTTAACCGTAAGAAAGTGATTGTTGACACTCGCCCGATCGGGCAAATAAACGGACGAATCTTTTAACTAGGCTCGCGCCCGATCGGGCAATGTCAGGCCATCTACACTTAAGAAAATAAATTTTCTCTCGCGCCCGATCGGGCTAACTTAGCCCTATCGGGCGAGCAAATATTATTTTCCTAAGTTTATATTCGCGCCCGATTGGGCAAAGCCCGCCCGACTGTGTCCGTGGTCATAACCATGATTCATGTTATAATTTTGTTTTGCTCCAAATATTAAACTTATAGACAAGCTCCAAGCTAAACTTTTCTATTAACCAATGTGGGAGTTTTTTTCCCAACATCAAGTTAAATAGAATAGAGTAACTCATAGACTAGCTCCAAGCTATACTTTTCTATTTAACCAATGTGGGAATTTCTTCCCAACTTCAAGTTAAATAGAATAGAGTAAGCTATCATCCTCTATTCAACTAATGAGGGACTTTCTTCCCAACATGTTAAATAGAATTGAACAAGGTAACTTCTTCTACTATACCAATGTGGGACTTCCATCCCAACATTTTAAGCTATATAGACTAACCTATACAACCAACTTCTATTCTACTAATGTGGGACTAATTTCCCATCATTCACAAAACACCTATTATGAAAACTACTCTAACAATAATCTTAAAGCAATTTTAATAGAAAATTCTTCATGGAGAATGTCATGAAGAGTGTTGGTGACGCTGGAAAACTTGATCGGTTCAATGGTTCCAATTTTACTCGTTGGAAGGAGACCATGAAGTTCTTACTCATCACAATGAAGTTGTTCTATATCCTTGATGTTGATCTTAAGCCCATTCCTGAAGGAAGATGAAATTGATGTTGTGAAGGTTGAACGCAAAAAGCGTGTTGAGAATGAAGCACTATGCAGACGATACATTCTGAATCATCTTTCAAACCGTCTGTATGATCTCTACATACCGATGAAGAATCCAAAGGAAATCTGGGACTCTTTGGAAACTAAGTACAATTCTGAAAAACAAGGGGCAGATAAGTTTATTACTATGCAATTTTTTGAATTTACTATGAATGATTCTTCATCAGTACTAGACCAAGTGCATGAATTTCTTATCTTGACCTCTAAATTTAAGGATCTTGCTATAACCATTCCGGAAAAACTACTTGTGGGGGGAATAATTGCAAAATTACCCACTAGTTGGAATGATTGTAGGAAGAAACTTTTGCATACTTCTGAGGATTTTACTTTGGAACAAATTCAAAAACATTTACGGATTGAAGAGGAAAGTCAAAACCGTGATAAGAAATCTGATGGTGATTCTAGTTCCAAATTAAATTATGTAAGTAATGATCATAAGGGGGGAGGCAAGAAAAGAAAGGCTAATAATCATAATAAGCAGAATAATTCCAACAAGAAGCCTAGAAAGAATTTATCTGATGTTGTTGTTACAAGTGTGGCGAAAAAGGACACATTAAGAAATATTGCAAGAACCCTAAGAAGACTTAAAAAACAGAAAGAAGGTGGTAAGGCAAATGTTGTAGAGAATAACACCAATGATATTGTTGCCATGAAATCTGAATTAAACATTGGTATGATTCAAGAAATGCATATGGCTTCGCTCACTACAAGTGATGATTGGTGGTATGATACAAGGCTCTTTTCAAGACCTACACCGATTCTTCCCTGATCATGAAGTTCTTATGGGTGATCATCATTCTTTCAAGGTCCAAGGTTCTGGTACAGTTGAAGTGCAATTTACTTTTGGGAAGAAAGTCATTCTCACCAATGTACTTCATGTGCCTCAAATTAGGAAGAATTTAATTTCTGGTTTTATATTGTCTAAGGGTTTGCAAGTTGTAATAAAATCTGACAATGTAATTCTATCTAAGGCTGGAACCTTTGTTGGAAAGGGCTATGCTTGTGATGGAATATTCAAATTATCTATCAATAAAGTTGAAAAGTCTACTTATTTTGTTGTGCAAAATGTAGAATGTATTTCTTTTAATTTATGGCATAATCGTTTAGCACATACTAATTATAAGACTATGAAAATTATTTCGAAAAGTGGTATGATTTCTTATGGCAATGATAGTCATGATAAATGTGAAGTTTGTGTGTAATCGAAAATGAAGAGAAAACCTTTTCCTAAAGTTGATAGAAATACTGAAATATTAGAACTTGTTCATTCTGATATTTGTGAGTTCAATGGAAATTTAACTAGAGGTGGTAATAGGTATTTCATAACTTTCATTGATGATAGTTCTCATTTTACCTATGTTTATTTGTTAAAGACAAAAGATCAGGCATTTGATATGTTTAAATTGTGTAAAGCCATGGTAGAAACACAAAAAGATAAGAAAATTAAGATATTACGAATTGATAGAGGTGGAGAATATTTTCCCACGGAATTTTCTGATTTTTGTGAATCTAATGGCATTATACATCAGGTTAGTGCCCCATATAGACCCCAACAAAATGGAGTGGCTGAAAGAAAGAATGATGTATTAGGTGATATGGTAAATGCCATGCTTGTTAATGCAAATTTGCCGCTTAATTTGTGGGGGGAAGCTTTACTAACTGCATGTCATGTACACAACAGAATTCCTTCTGAGAAAAATAAGGTATCTCCATATGAGTTATGGAAAGAAAAGGAAAGGAAAGAAACCTAATATTAGTTATTTTAGAGTTTGGGATATGCTAAAAATTCAAAAGCCTATAGGTTTTTGGATTTAGATTCTAATGTTATAGTGGAATCACGAGATGCTGAATTCTTTGAGAATAAATTTCGTGGGGATTCTATAAACATTGATGATTCAGCACTACCACAAGTTTCTCTTAATGATGTTTCTAGCTCTTAGTAATTTCGAATAATGTCCGATTTCTCTAGTGAACCTAGAAGAAGTGTAAGGGCAAGGAAGGAGAAAAATTAGGGTCCGAATTTTATTGATTCACAAGCTATTCTCTTTCTTGTCAAAGGTGTAATAAGTGTGAGGTTACTAAAAAGATACCCATTCTACTTACTGTTGATGTTAATGTAGAGGATGATCCAAAAATGTTTAAAGAAGCAATGGCTTCTAGAAAAGCAGCTTTTTGGAAGGAGGCAATAAATGATGAGATGGATTCCTTGGTTTCAAATAATACTTGGTATCTCACGGATTTGCCACCTGGTTCCAAAGTTGTTGGATGTAAGTGGGTGTTTAGAATTAAAAAAGACACAAATGGGAAGATAATATCTTTTAAGGCTAGGTTGGTAGTACAAGGTTTTACTCGAAAAGAAGGGGTGGATTATTTTGATACTTATGCACCCGTTACTAGAATTACATCCATGAAAGTCTTTATGGCTTTAGCTTCTATTTATGACTTGCTTGTTCATCAAATGGATGTAAAAACAGCTTTTCTAGATGGTGATTTAGATGAGGAAGTGTACATGAGGCAACCGGAGGGTTTTGTTCTTCTTGGTAATAAAAGTAAAGTTTGCAAATTGGTTAAGTCTTAGTATGGATTACAATAGGCTCCAAAACAGTGGCATGAAAAATTTGATTCTGCAATTTTGTCACATGATTTTACTCATAATTTTGCTGATAGATGCGTTTATT